CCCCCCAAACCCCAAGGACCGGCCCCCCAAACCCAGGATCACCCCCCGAGCCCCGCAGCCGCCGCAGCCCGGCTGAGGCCGCGCCCGCTCAGCCCGCAGGAGTTCCTGTGGGAGAAGGAGGGCGGCGAGGCGCCGCTGCAGCTCAGCTCCGACAGCGTCCTCATCTTCCCCTTCCTCAACAAGAGCGACAGCGGCACCTACGTCTGCACGGCCACCAGCTCCATGGGCAGCGTGGTGGCCAAGTACAACCTGGACGTCAGCGGTGAGTGTGGCCCCGGGGCACCCCAGAAGTGTCACCCGTCACCTGTCTATGAGGTTATGGCATCCTTTGTGCCCAAAAAGTGTCACCCTGTCACCTGTGGATGGGGGCACTGCATCCTTTGTGCTCAGAGTGTCAGCCTGTCACCTGTGGATGGGGGCACTGCATCCTTTGTGCNCCTGTCACCTGTGGATGGGGGCACTGCATCCTTTGTGCTCAGAGTGTCAGCCTGTCACCTGTGGATGGGGGCACTGCATCCTTTGTGCCCAAAAGTGTCACCCTGTCACCTGTGGATGGGGGCACTGCATCCTTTGTGCCCAAAAGTGTCACCCTGTCACCTGTGGATGGGGGCACTGCATCCTTTGTGCTCAAAAGTGTCACCCTGTCACCTGTGGATGGGGGCACTGCATCCTTTGTGCCCAAAAAGTGTCACCCTGTCACCTGTGGATGGGGGCACTGCATCCTTTGTGCCCAAAAGTGTCACCCTGTCACCTGTGGATGGGGGCACTGCATCCTGTGTGTCCCTCTCACTCTGTGGATGAGGTCACAGCATCCTTTGTGCTCAAAGAGTGTCACCCTGTCACCTGTGGATGGGGGCACTGCATGCTGTGTACTCAAAAAGTGTCACCCTGTCACCTGTGGGTGAGGTTACGGCAACCTTTGCGCCCAAAAAGTGTCACCATGTCACCCCTGTCACCTGTGGATGAAGGCACAGGGGACATTGTGTCCTTTGTGCCAAAAAGTGTCACCCTGTCACCTGTGGGTGAGGTCACTGCATCCTTAGTGCCCTAAAAGTGTCACCGTGTCACCTGTCTTGGGGTGGGAAGGGGCACATGGCGCTGTCCCCTGACTGTGCTCTGCTTGTCCCCGTGTCCCCATGTGTCACATGTGGTTCAGGGCCACATTTGTGTCCCCATGTCCCCATGCCGTGTGTCACACGTGGTTCAGGGCTGTGTTTGTGTCCCCATGCCATGTGTCACACGTGGTTCAGGGCCATGTCTGTGTCCCCATGTCCCCATGCAGTGTCACATGTGGTTCAGGGCCACATTTGTGTCCCCATGTCCCCATGCAGTGTCACACGTGGTTCTCCTTCCATTTGCAAAATCCAAATTCCTGCTCTCCTCCCCGTCTCTCTCTCCCACCTTGAACTCCCCCTCTTCCAGCTCTTCCCTTTCCTGCCTCCTTCCCCTGCGGTGCCACCCCAAAGTGGCACTCTGTCCCCCGTGTCCCCTCCCTCAGCCCCCAGCGCTGTGCCATCGCTCCCGTGTCACCCTCGTGTGTCCCCTGTGTCCCTGTGTGAGCACCCACAGCTCTCTGCACCCACCCAGGAGCTCCCCACGGGTGCCACCCGCTGTCCCTCGCCCACCCGGTGCCACCACCCCAGTCACAGCAGACGAGTTCCCTATCCAGGCTTGGTGGCACTGCCACTTTTGTCCCTAAAGCCACTCGTGTCCCAGGCCCTGGGAGCCACCTCCATGCCCAGCTGAGCCCTCCAGCTTGCCCACCTTGGTGCCACCCCTGTGGTCACCAGGGATGACACCACGAGGGTCCCTCAGGGCGTAACAAGGAGGAGAAGATGGCCACAGTGTCCCAGAGGTTGGTGGCAGAAGCAGAGGGACCTGTGGGGTCCCTAAAGCCACCTCCGTGTCCAGCTGAGCCCTGTAGCCTTGCCCACCTTGGTGCCACCCCTGTGGTCACCAGGGATGACACCGAGGGTCCCTCAGGGCGTAACCAGGAGATGGGAGAAGATGGCCACGGTGTCCCAGAGGTTGGTGGCAGAAGCAGGGGGACCCCTAAAGCCACTCATGTCTCCAGCCCTGGGAGCCACCACCTTGCCCACCTTGGTGCCAGCCCTGCCAACACCCTGTGGTCACCAAGGACGTGCACAGGTGGCACCTCACCATGGTGCCACCACGAGTGTCCCTCAGAGGTTACCCAGGAGGAGAAGATGGCCACGGTGTCCCACCAGGGTCCCTCAGGGGGTACCCAGGAGATGGGAGAAGATGGCCACGGCGTCCCAAAGGTTGGTGGCAGAAGCAGAGCGACCCGCGAGCTCACGGCTGGACCCGCCCGAGGTCCCCTCGAGGTCTCTGTCACCTCTGCGAGCCCTTCGTGCCATTGATTCCTGTGCTGTGTTTTTTGTTGTCCTCCCCAGATGTTCCCCAGCTCCCCACCCCACACGTTCACTCCACCCGGGGCCCTTCCCAGCCCATCTCTCATGCTTCCATGGCCTCCGCTCCATCCTTCACTCCAGCTCCCATCCAAGGTACCGTAACCTCCTTTTCTGTCTCTTTGCGGACCCCAGCCCGGCCTGGAGAAGCTCCACAGGATGTCCCCACCCTGGCCTGGGGACAGCCCTGCCCAGGTGGCTCCAGTCCCCTCGGGGGGTGCGCGTGTGGATTTTGGTGTTTTTTCAACCGAGCTGTCCCTTGTCCTGTGTGTCCGTGTGCCGTGTTGTCCCTCTGTCCTGCTGCCTCCCCTGTGTGTCCCCAGCCTCGTCCTTCCCAAAATGTGGCTCTGTCCCCACCCCGAGCTGATGGGAAGAGGATTTGTCACCGTGGCCCAGGGCTGGCACAGGATCCCAGCAGGAATGGAATGTCTTCTCACCACCTTTGGGGTCCTGCTGTCGTCACCTCTCCGGGTGCAGCCTGTTGGCCGTGCCAGCCTTCATGTCCCCTCCATCCTCCCTTTTATTTTGGGGGCCAAAACCCTGAAAAAAAGGGGCAGAGGATGGGATTTCCCCCTTTGCTTCCCCCCGTTCTTGCTGCCAGGACCCACAGCAGGACCCCCGGAGGAGCTGCTGGCACAGGATGGAGCTCCTGGTTGGGCAGCAGCAGCAGCTTCTGCTGCCCTGCAGGGTCTCAGCTCTTTTCTTGTCTCTTTTCTGTCCCCCCGCCTGGGCAGATGCCAGCCCGGTGCCCTCGACCTCCAGCACTTACCACGCCATGATCGGCGGCGTGGTGGCCGTCATCGTCTTCCTCCTGCTCAGCCTCCTCATCGTGCTGGGACATTACCTGATCAGGCACAAAGGTACGGCCCTGAGGGCTGCAGGGGGGCTGCAGGGGGGTCTCGGGGGTCTCAGGGCAGCTCGTGGGGATGTCAGGAATGTCCCAGGGAATGCAGGGGGAGGTGGTTCCCACCCGCTGTGTCCCGGGATTGTCCCCGTGTCCCCCTCGCCTGCTCCCTCTGCCTTCCTCCTCCTCCTTCCCCCCCGCCTGCCCCTTCCGTGCCCAGCAGGTTTGTGCCCAAGCCCTGGGGACACGGTGGCACCCGGCCATGGGCCACCCCCGGTGCTGATGTGTGAGTAGAGCCCCCCGCCCTGCTCCGGGGGCGGCCAGGACCCCCTGTTCTCCAGGAGGGGTTTGGGGGGGTCAGGAGCCTGACTGGCAGCGGTCACTCCATGTGTGGACACTGCCCAAAATCCTGGAGCACCCCAGTGGGTCTGCATCCCATCCATCCCATCCTTCCTGTGCATCCCACCCCATCCCATCAATCCCATTCCATCCCATTGATCCCATCTCATCAATCCCATCCCATTGATCCCATCCCATCCCATCCCATCCCATCCCATCCAATCCCATCCCATCCCATCCCATCCATCCCATCTTATCCCTCCTATCCCATTCATCCCAATCCCATCCCATTGACTCCATCCCATCCCGTCCCATCAATCCCATCGATCCCGTCCCATCGATCCCATCCCCATCGATCCCGTCCCACCAATCCTGTCCCAATTGATCCCATTCCATCCCATCCCATCCATCCCATCCCATTCATCCCATCCCATTGATCCCAGTCCTATCCCACTGATCCCATCCCATCCCATCCATCCCATCCTATCGACCCCATCCCATCTCATTGATCCCAATCCCATCCCATCGATCTCATCCCATCCCATCCCATCACATCCCATCAATCCCACCCCATCAATCCCATCCCATCCCATCCCATCCCATCCCATCCCATCCCATCCCATCCCATCCCATCCCATCCCATCCCATCCCNCCCATCCCATCCCATCCCATCCCATCCCATCCCATCCCATCCCATCCCATCCCATCCCATCCCATCAATCCCATCCCATCCCCTCCCAGCGACTTCTCCATCTCCCCCAGTCCCACCGGAGCCCCCCAGACCCCCCATTTGCGGGGGACTTGGCTCTGTCAGAGCCCCCCGTGAGCCCAAACCCCCAAACCCCGTCCCCCCCTTTCTCCAGGCACGTACCTGACCCACGAGGCCAAAGGCTCGGACGACGCTCCGGACGCCGACACCGCCATCATCAACGCCGAGGGCGGCCAGGCCGGCGGCGACGACAAGAAGGAATATTTCATCTAAAGGCGTTGGAGAGAGAGAGAGAGAGAGAGAGAGAGAGATGGAGCCAAGAGAACCCCGATGGCAACGGCAACCAGACCACAAACCCCACACCAAACCCAACAGATTTTCCCCGGCGCCCGGCACGGGCGGCCGGACGGACGGACGGACAGAGGGATGGCGGGACAGAGAGCAGGGAGAGCCACCGGCCTGGAGGCGTCGCTGACGCTTCTGGAACTTTGTACAAATCCTTCACTCCAACGGCGAGAGCCCCGGCCCCGTTTGCTTGCTTGCACCTCCATCCCCACGCCCTGACCCCCACAGACCAACCCGTGAGTGAGCGAATTCCTCCTCCTCCTCCTCCTTCCTTTTTTGGAACTTTTTATTTTTATTTTTTTTTTGGTTGTTTTTGGCTTTGGTTTCGTGGCTGCTCTTTGCTTCGGGCCCTTGGTTGGGGTGTTGGGCTGGGGTCGATGTAGCTCTTTCCCTTTGTTTCTCTCCGTTTCGGTTTCTTTGATATCCAAGGATAAAATCAGCTCCGGGTTTCCCGGGGCGAGTTTGGGGAACCCCCCACCCTGGGGGGGGTTTGTGACTCCAGCTGGGAGCAGAGCGAGACCCTGCCCCGATTTTATCCTTGGTGGTTCTTGTGGAGCAGTGTCCGTGCGGGAGCAGAGCTGTCCTCGTGCAGTCAGTGTGTGAAAAGGGGGTGAAAATCCAGGGTGGGACCCCCAGATGAACCAGGAGCCCCCCACAGCTCCCGGGTCCCACCCCAGCGGGAGGGGGGAGGGCTGAGATTTATGTTGAGTTGGGGCAAATCCAAAGGAAAAGCCCCCCAATTTATTTTATTTTATTTTATTTTATTTTATTTTATTTTATTTTATTTTATTTTATTTTAATTTGTCTTAAATTCTCCGATTGGAAATGCCAATTTTTAACCATCTATTGAGATGTTCAGTGCAGGAGGCAGCGCCCTCGGGGTTGGGGCTGCTTCCCTGGGACCCCCAAAACAGGGCTGGGGGTTCTGCCAGGGTCTCTCTGCCCCCCTTCCCTCCCCAGCCCCTTCCCAGGGCAGGGATGAGCTTGGAAAGGGCTGATTTTCTTCTTGGCTCTGAGAACCCCCAACCAAAACACCTGGATTTGGGGTCTGGGGAGTTTGGGGTCACCACAGAGGTTTGGAGTGGGGGGGGTTCACCCTTTTTCCTTGGCCTTCCTCCTGCCTCTTTCACCTTCACTTCCCAAAAACCTTTCCCCACCTCTCCAGAGCAGCCCCTCCCCAAACCAGGCACCCCCTGGCATCTTTTAGGGCACCCCCAGCCTTGGCATGAGGGTTCCTGGCACCCCACATCCCAGTCTGGGCACGAGGGGGGCTGCAGGAGATGCCCTTGGGCTCGGATCCCCGTGGATTTGGGGTTGTGGGGAGGAGGGGAGGCCTTGGGGAGGGGTAACCCCACCTGGGAGGTCACCCCAAGGATTTGGGGTCATCTGGAGGAGGGGGTGACTTCACCTGGGAGGTCACCCCATGGATTTGGGGTTGTCTGGAGGAGCTTTTTAGGAGGGGTAACATCACCTGGAAGGTCACCCCATGGATTTGGGGTTGTGTGGAAGAGGGGGTGACCCCAGCTGGGAGGTCACCCCATGGATTTGGGGTAATTGGGAGGAGCTTTTTAGGAGGGGCAACTTCACCTGGGAGGTCACCCCAAGGATTTGGGGTCATCTGGAGGGGTCAACCCAAGGATTTGGGGTCATCTGGAGGATGAGTGGACCCTTGGAGAGGAATAAACTCACCTGGGAGGTCACCCCAAGGATTTGGGGAAATTTGGAGGAGCTTTTAAGGAGGAGCAGCTTCACCTGGGAGGTCACCCCAAGGATTTGGGGTCGTCTGGAGGATGAGGGGACTCTTGGAGAGGAATAAACTCACCTGGGAGGTCACCCCAAGGATTTGGGGTCATCTGGAGGATGAGGGGACCCTTCAGGAAGGAGCTGGGGTGGGAAACCTCCCCTGGGAGGTGCACAAGAATTTTCTCACCTCTTCCACGGGGCTGGAAGTGTCACCCTCCCCCCCAAACCCTGTCACCTGTGTCACCTGTGTCACCTGTGGGGCAGGAGAGGGGCCCAGCTCGGTGCCACACACGGGTGGCAGCCAGGGATGTGACACTGGGGACACTGCAGAGGTGGCTCAGCTGTGTCAGGAGCAGTGCTGCCACTGGGAAGGAGCAGGAAAATGAAATTTTTGAGGTTACCTTTGCTGGGTACGGCCGTTTTTTGGGGTGTTTTTCCTCTTTTCCAACCTTTTTGGAGTGGGGGATGCCCTCAGGGCAGCTCCGCGCTCGGGCTGGGGGACGAATCCTGGGGTTGCCAACACCCAAAAGTCGCCAGGACTGAACAATTCCTGCAAATAAAAACAGCCAGATGTTTTCTCAAGCAAAATTCCATCTCCTGGGGGGGCTGGGGGGATGCCAGGCAGAGGCAGGAGCAGGGCTGGGAGCTTTTCCCTCTTGGAATTCAGTTCTGCTGCTCCAGAGCTGCTCCAAGGGCTGGTGCCAGGGAGAACAGGCTGGATTGGTGGTTTTGAGGTGATTTTTGGGGTGATTTTGAGGTGGTTTTGGTGGTTTTCAGGTGATTTTGAGGTGATTTTAGTGGTTTTGAAAGGGTTTTGAGGTGATTTTCAGGTGGTTTTGGTGGTCTTGAGGTGATTTTGTTAGTTTTGAGGTGGTTTTGATGCTTTTCAGGTGATTTTGGGGGTTTTGAGGTGATTTTGAGGTGATTTTGGTGGTTTTGAGGTGATTTTCAGGTGGTTTTAAGGTGAGGTGATTTTTGAGGTGGTTTTCAGTTGGTTTTGAGGTGATTTTCAGGTGGTTTTGAGGTGATTTTGGGGTGATTTTGAGGTGGTTTTGGTGGTTTTCAGGTGATTTTGAGGTGATTTTGTTGGTTTTGAGGTGGTTTCCAGGTTGTTTTGGTGTTTTTGAGGTGATTTTGAGGTGGCTTTGGGGGTTTTGAGGCGATTTTGAGGTGGTTTTGGGGGTTTTGAGGTGATTTTGGTGGTTTTGAGGTGGTTTTGAGGTGATTTTGGTGGTTTTGAGGTGGTTTCGAGGTGCCACGTGCTGTGGGGTGTGGCAGGGCAGCCCTAGGAGCAGCCAGGGGGACACGTGGAGGTGTCACCTGGCCCCGGTGTCACCTGGAGCTCAGAGAGAGGGGCCAGGAAGGGTCGGAAATTCCATCCGAGGCCGCTTCTGGATCCAAAAGTTCTGGCAGAGGTGGGAGCAGCAGAGATTCGTGTCACACCTGGGGGTGACAACAACACCGGGGGTGTCCCACCAGCGTGGCCGTGGGGTGCCAGGGACCCCCCCAAACCCGGAGAATTCCAGGTGGAAGCTGTGCCAGGGGGAAAAAGCGAGTCCCTGGCCCTTTTTTGGGGTCACTTTTGGGGTGACAGACGAGCAAGGGCTGGGGGTGACGGGGTGGGGTGGGCGTCACCGTGTCTGGGGGAGAGCCAAGGCCACCGCCCCGTCCTCGGGCGGGGGGTTCTGTTGGTGGCCCCACATCCACCAAGTCACGGGGTTGGGTCTCCAAAAAAATTTTGGGACCCTCCTGAGAGGTTTCCCGGCCGGCACTGAACTCTCAATAGACACGAAAGCCATATTTTGGTATTTTGGGGAGCTCTGGAGAGGCCGGGGCGGGGGGCAGAGGCTGGGCTGTGTTGTTGTGCTGTGGTTTTTTGGGTTTTTTTGTTTTGGTTTTTTTTTTTTTATTTTGTTTTGGGTTTTTTTTTTTTTTTTTTTTTTTTTTTTTTTTTGTCTGTACATAAAGGGAGCAAACGACCGTCGATGTGACTTTATAACCTTTCTAATATCCTGTGCTAATCTTGGAAAATAATCCTATAAATATATCTGGATTACACACACACATCTTTACCTGCCTGGCTCTCTGTGTTTGGGGGGGTAGGGGGACAGAGCTCAGCCCCCCTCAAACCTCCCCCGAGCCCCCAAATCTCCCACCGAGCCCCCAGACCCACCCAAGTCACCCTGATCCCGACCCTCAGCACCTCCCCACAAAGATCAGTAACCCCAATTCCCAAACCCTGGGGATCCCCAGGACTTTCACCCCAAATCTGACTTAATCCCTCCCCAATTCCCAGATTCCTCCTCAGCCCTTTCCCCTCCAAATTCCCAATTCCCAGATTCCTCCTGAGCCATTCCCAATTCCCAGATTCCTCCTCAGCCCTTTCCCCTCCAAATTCCCAATTCTCAGATTCCTCCTCAGCCCCTCCCAAATTCCCAATTCCCAGA